ATCATTATTGTTGTTATTATCATTATTACTATTATTAACATTATCATCATGATCATCATCATTGTTGTTGCTAATATTGTTATCATTATTGTTATTAGTGTTATCATCATTATTATCAACATCATCATTATCATTATTCTAACTATCAATATTAAAATATTATTATTTTTATTATTATCATTATTATTATAATTCTTATTTTGATAATATTATTGTAATTACTATCATTTCATCATTATTATTCTCTATTATTGTTATAACTATTGTTGTTATTTATTATTTGTTTATGTTTCGGTAGCGTTGGTTAGCCAGGAATGTGTCTTAGCCCAACTAGACGAATCCCGCGCAGAATAATCAAAAGTTATGAACAGATTTTTTTCTTTTTCTATTTTTTACCTATATATTATTATATATATATATATATATATATATATATATATAGTATATAGATATATATATATATATATATATATATATATATATATATATCTTACCAGAGGTGTATTTTAGCCATCACATTTGATGGTGATCCAGATAATGATCAGGATGCTTAGCAGGATAACTTAAAAGTTATAAACAAATTTTTATGAAACTTTTACCAGGTGTCTTAACGCAATTTGGAAACCACTACATTTTTCGTGGTAATTATCACGATCTGGATCCTCGGCAGAATAACTTAAGAAGTTATGAGCAGATATTGTTAATCTAAAGGACATGGAATTTTAATAAACAAACAAACAAAGTAATCAAGAAAACCCGGAAACACATAATAAAGATGCCGACTTATTCGTCGAAGCTAGTGTAAACAAACCATGCAACTCATATGTACTACTATTACTACTACTGTTATTGTCACTACCATTATGGTTATTATTTTTATGATGATTCTATTATCATTACTATTATTATTATCATATTATTAATATTCGTTATAGTAATGATAATTACTATTATTGTTTATCATTAACATTATCGTTATTGTTACTATTATTATTATATTTCCATTACCATTATTACTATTGCTATCATCATCATTAATGTTATTGCTATTATCATTATTATTATCACTATTATCATTTTTATATTCATTGTTATTGTTATTGTTATAATTTTAATTGTTATTATTACCATTATTATTGTTGTTACTATAACGATAACAATAATTAGCATTATTATTTTGTTATAATTATTTCTATCCTTATTATAATGATTATTATCACTAGTATTATCATCACCATTATCATATTTTATATTATTATTATTATTATCATCGTTATCATTATTTCTATTATTTTAGTTATTATCATCACCATCATATCATCATTACTATCATTAATGTTATTATTATTGTTATTATTATCATTATTACTAGTTCTGTTATCGCACACATACAACACGTACACACACGCACGCACACACTTGCGTATGCGTATGTGAGTGTATGTATATATATATTTTTTTCAGGGATATACGGATATACACAAGCACACACACACGCACGTGCATATGTGCGTGTGTGTGTACTGGTAACAAAGAATTCATACGCAATACATAAAACCGGGATCGTGTAAATAAAACTTGAACCAGACCGGGTCGCAGCGAACAGTCAGGATCGCCGCTCCGCCTGCAGCGCCATCAGGGTACGAGGCGGCTGTTGCGCCCACGCTCTGTTCGCCGCTGGACTATACTTCAGGAATGAAAGTTCATCTCGGATTCTGGAAAAAAAGGTTCTTCGTCAGCACAGAGACACTGCCTGAGTTCTCCTTCTGAAGGGCTGGCGAAAATGAAGGAAAACAATTGAAGTAACATTTTAACGATTAGGTCGAAACGCATTTAAACAAAATAAAACATTAAATGGTGACCATCTACTTCTAGTGGCAATCGAGGTCGCACTTTCTTGGTTATATAAGGCATTATACAACCATGAAGCATGGAAAATTAAAGACGACAATGAAATCCATCACGATAAATTCTTCATGAAAAACAAATTATCTATAATTTCTATTGTTTAACATTGCAGACAGAATTCTAGAGATAATTTTTTGACATGTCAAACTTTAATTCATTTTATTATTTTACAAAAAATAAATAATATGTAACAATTTTCTTTGTATAATCATCTAACATTGTAACAATGTAACAATCTATTTGTATATACATTTCTCTTCCCTGCAGTGGAATGGCACACTGAATCCAGAAAAGTCCAGTTAGGTAAAATAAAAATCAAAACCTGTAAGTTGCTATGCCGCCGCGAGCCCCCTGTTTCCTCCCTCCCTCCTACGTGCGGGCCTTCCAACAGTTGCAGATTGTCCTTTTATTTCCCATTATAACCTTTCGAGAAGTTACATGTTAAAAACGCGTTTTTCAATCTTTTTCCTTGGACAAAAATACATTTTTTGCCAGTTCCCTTCCCTCATTCCTCTAAAATATCTGAAATTTGCTATATGGCATTTACCTTCTACGAAGCTTTCGCTGTATATAAGAACCTGCAGCCAGGCTTGAGATCTGCACTTCAACCATGGCAGGGTCAGGTAAGACATGCTGGCGCCCGGTTTGAAATTTCTTTTGGAACCATCAGAGCATTGAACTTTACTAATTACTGAATGAAATCAGGAATGTTTTAGTTCACTACAATACTCTGCCACACACACACACACACATATGTGTGTGTGTATATATAAATAATATATATATATATATATTAATATATATATATAATATGTGTGTGTGTGTGTGTGTGTGTGTGTGTGTGTGTGTGTGTATGTATGTTATTATATATATATATATGTGTGTGTATGTATGTATATATTCATATATTGTATATATATATGTGTATGTAAGTATATATTATATACTGTATATATATGTATTATATATATATATATATATATATGTATACATATATATATATATATATTATAATATATATATATATATATATATACATATATCATAAAGCTCTCTGTGACTTCAATGTCCTCGCCGCAAACATGTATCGACTGAACAGGTACTCCTAGCAAGTCCCAAAGTCCTGGATCTTGGTCTTGGTCCAGACCTCTAGACCCAAGAGCTTCGCTTCATTACTAAATACATCAAGAGCCACCACTAAGGATTCCAAAGACTCAGATAGAATATATATGTATATATATAATATATATTATATATATATATATATATATATATATATGTATGTATATATATGTATATATGTATATATATATATATATATATATATGTATATATATGTGTGTGTGTGTGTGTGTGTGTGTGTGTGTGTGTGTGTGTGTGTGTGTGTGTGTGTGTGTGTGTGTGTGTGTGTGTGTGTGTATGTATGCATATTTTTATGTATGTATAAGTGTATATGTATATGAATATGTACAAGTGTATGTATGTATATATATATATATATATATATATATATATGTATGTATGTATGTATATATATACATATATGTAGATGTAGATGTATGTATATAAACACACATGCATGCAATCTATATATGTTCAAAATATGGCAAAAATGCGCGTACAAAAATATTATTGAATCAGACTTTATCTCCATGTCTTCCATAATCAACAAAAATAATCCTTGAATAGTCTACGGCAGGTAACCGATCTTTCGTAAACTCGCCAGGATATACGTTGATGTTCGCGGCTGTCGCCATCCTGAGTGCGGCAGCGACTTCACCGCCTCTCACGCTTGTCCCGGGCCGTCCTGAGACCGCGTCGCTTGAAACGTCGGCTCTCTTCCACCTGTGGAATGAACAGCTGGACTATCAAGGCCGTCTTCCCGTGGATAGGGATACAGGATGTAAGATTTTCCTTAATGTGTTCTTTAGGGTTGAAGAATACATAGGGACAGGGATACGGGATGTAAGATTTTCCTTAATGTGTTCTTTAGGGTTGAAGAATTGAGAGGGATAGGGGTACAGGATGTAAGATTTTCCTTAATGTGTTCTTTAGGGTTGAAGATAGGCAGATGAACTGGGAGAATTGTGAAATTGCTCGCTTTTCAGGAAGCGGCATCAGCTAAATTGAAATTGATATAGAGTAAGGCGAGTAGAGGAAATGAGAATTACAGCCGATATACCAGGAAATTAATCCTGAAATTGCTTCCTCCCCGACAGCCATAGGAACTTTGTTGTCTCCTGCATACTTCCACGTGACCAATCTAGTGCCCCAGGACGCCCCTAATCCGCTTTACGTCAGTAGATACGCTGAACTACGCGCTGCTTTCCTCAGCGACCACATGCTCCGAGACACAGTAGACCCCAATGATCCTAGGATTAAATCAGTCAACGGCCTGACAGCAAAAACCCTCACTGGCAAATCCGTTGTTTTCAAGAGGGACAATACAGGTAAGGTGGATACGCACTTGGATGGTTCTGAAGAATAGCATGATCCCGCAATTCATATTCTAAAACATGTTTGAATATAGATATTAATAATGCAAATAAAAAGGGATAGGTAAGATAAAGCAGTGGTAATGGTTTTCTGTTATGTGACTATATAATTTTATTTCAAACAGACAAGCTCACTGTGAACAACATCCCCGTAGAAAGCGTGGAAACGCTGTCTGACGGGATAGTGAGCTACAAACTGGATGGTGTCCTGTTTGATTACGTGAAGCAAGTGGACGACGCTTTTCATGAGTACTTGAGAGACTCGACTTGATTCCACTCGCTTAGAGAAAATTGTCTGAGAAAGGGCGATGGGATGCACAGGCATAATGTGCAAAAAGGTATCCAGATAGAAAAATCACGAGCGTGAAGAAAATTAGGAAAAAATAAAAATTTTACGTTGTAGATATGTATATACATATCAGTACCTTATTTTTTGTTAACAATCAGAGTTCTTACGGCAGGTATTTTTACATGATAAAAGAAAATCAAGAAAATGATAACGTGCAGGAGTTCTGCATAAAGAAGTTATATTTCCTCTTGTGTTATCGTAACTGGATGAACCTAAATGCAAAGTATTGTTAGCAAATCAGTTACAAC